AAATTCTCCAATAGTTTTCTTGTCTTTTAATAGTAAGAGGGTATTATATAATAATAGAGATTTTCATCAATAATGATATCATTATATAATGTCTGAAAAATACATTTTCAATTTTAAAAAAAGATGGTGCTTTACAATCTTTTACTTTTTAGTCTTACTACCTAATTAGGATAAAAAAGTAATCTCCTTCATATACTTTGCCTAATTAGGATAATAGAAGTTGAAGATCTTGAATTAAACAAATAAGTATTTTTTTATTATCTAAAAAATTTAATACTTATTTTAATAATCTTATAATTTTTTTGCTTTAATTATACTTTATTTAAAAAAGTAGAGGATTTCACATCAATAAATTCTCTTTTCTTTATTACTAATATTATTAAAATATATGAATATGATCAATAGAAGCTTGTTTATATTTTTTTATCAATATGTTTTATGTTAGTCACTCAAAAGCTAAATAATATTGTGCTATCAAAAATTTAGAATAAAACTAAGGCAGGTAAATTTTTTAAAAAATTGAAAAAAAAACTATAAACAAATATTTTAAAAAAACAAGAAACAATATGTAAGAAGATGAATAATAAATCTTTTTTTATCTAGAAAATCTTTATTTTCATGTCACTTCCAATTTTAAAAGATGATACTTCACAAGTTAGTTCTTTTATTTCCTGGAACTTTCTTGCTTTTGATAGAGAAAATATGCACTTGAGTTTATTTAGGCTATTAGAAATCCAAGTTTTTATTTAAAAGAGTTTATAAACAAGTAGAAAAGAATAATAATGATTCTTAAAGACAAGTTTCAAGTTGTTTTAGAAAAAGTATAAAGATTTTATTAGTTAAAAAGTGCAAACATCTTTTTTATATATGAAAAAAAGATTGGTAAAAAGAGTTTTTTATTATATTAAATTAAAAAATTAATATTTTTTTTTTGCATTTTAAAAATTAATTGAAATTATTTTTATTTTAAAAAAATTAATAATTTCAATATTACTAGTTATTAAATTTAATTTTGCTGAATAAGTTTTTTTAAATATTTTATAAGATTAAAAGTGTTATTTTTCTTGTAAAATATTTTTATACTTTATTTAGAAATTATTAAGGTAACTGAGATTGATTTCAATAGATTATTTGTATTAATATTTTCAATATTAATATTACTATAACTAATTAAATTGTTATTTTTATTATATTTTATTTAAATACTATTAAATAAATTTTCATGTAGTAAAAACTCTTTCCACTGATCCTCTGACTACATATAAAAAAGATGTTCACAAGAAGTTTTATACTTCTTTGCTAATAAAGTCTTTATACTTTTATTAAAACAACTTGAAGCTTGTCTTCATATATCTTTTCTATTTTCTCTCATTTGTTTATAAACTCCTTTGAATAAAAACTTGCATCTCTAATGGTCTGAAAAGACTCAAGTACATACTTTCTCTACTAAAGACAAAAAGGTTCTAGGAAGTAAAAGGACTGACAAGTGAAGTGTCACCTTACAGAGCTAGAAGCGAAAACAATAGAAATTCTATTGACAGAGAAAGGCTTATTATCCACTTTCTCACATACTGTCTTATATTCTCTTAAAGTGTCTACTATTTTTCATGGTATTCTTGGGGGATTTTGCCTACCTCAGTTTGACCCTGAATTTTAGGTAACACAATATCACCTGGCATTTGATTGGTTAATATGAAACACATTAATAACAGAATGTAAACAAGCCTCTATTAGTTATCTCACATGTTCTGATGATATCATTGATATTAGAAAGAGTTGATTGGTGTTCCACATCTGCTTCACTTCTCCAATTGGGTTAACTTATAGATCAAATACCATAAGGCCAATAAGATACAAGTAACAAGTCCTCAGGTGATGAAAAAGCTACTATTTGTTCAAGCTGAGGTCTTTCTCTCCTATCATTCTGGTCAGGCAAAGTTCAAGACCAAGATCTCCCTCTTATCCCGGTCAGACAATAAGACTGAATAGTCTCTAGTCCATGTTAAACTCCAACCCTTTGATTACAGTTAAGAATGCATTTCTCCAAAAGTTGTTGAAGGATATCATAATTGACGATGATTCCTGCCACTATCATCAATCTCCTATTATTACAAGACAAAAGAATTATTGAGAAATCTGGTTTTTTGAATAATGGAAGATATATACCAGTAAAATTCCTTTAATTAGATATGGTTACTAAAAGGTATCATACTAAAACAATATGATCTAGTCCTGACTAGGTCATATAAGAACCTGGGATTCATTATAATCACCTTTCTATCACAGGTGGATAAAAAATCACTGCCCAAAGAAGGTTGGAACTAAGTATGTCCTGGAAGTAAAGGCTCTCACTAGGTGATAAGTCTCCTTAGATGGTATATAAGAAAGAAATCAAGATCAAGAATGGATAAGTTCCTTAGATGGTCAGAAAAAGAAAGGATATCTCAATTAAACATTTCTTATTGAGAAGAAGTCTTGAGAAGCAGGTTTTTGGAGGAAGCTGGAAATATTTTTTTCAATTCTTACTATTTCCTTTTCTTATCGTCTATTTAGATATTTTTAGATATTCTCCCTTCCCTTTTTTCAATCCATCCTTTTGTAGTTTTCTGTATTCCAGCAGCTTGGTTAGATATTGTAGCAGACTGATTGACAAGTCTGTTGCTAATAACTAAAGGCTCATATAACCTGCAGATAGAAAAGTCTGTTCTTCTATCACATATACAAAACAATATCAAAATCAAGGCAGAGACATAAAAAGATTTGGACGAGTCTCAAAATAGTTTTCCCTAAAACTACTTATAACTTCACTGTTATAACAATCTATCCAAAAGATTTATCTTAAGATTTGTCATTTTATTAAATCATTAAAGGAAGTTATATTTATACATTTTTATATATAGAGCTATTATATAATCACTATGGTTATTCTAGTATTATGTCATGCATAAATTGCTTCATGATCAACCAATTTTCTATTACCTTAGTTTATAGTTTTTATCTTTTTGATGTGAATGGATTGTTTACGCATTCTTCTAGCTTGCAAGGAATATGGTAATAGTTGGCAATTGATTGGTTCACGTAAGTTTCGATCACGTCATAATCGGCAGTCATATGACTACAGTGAAAATTCTGAACTTTGTTTGACTTCTATGGCCTTTAACAATATACAGCAGTGACAACCTGCTGACAATGATGCAGTGGACTAGGAGGGTTTTCACCCAAAGATACTACGGAGCAAAATATTGTTCCCAAGATCGAACTTAGAGGCTTTTATGCTTAAAACAAGTTAGTTAGATTAAAATAATAATTTAATTGTAGTATATATCATACTGCTTGAATGAAAATATACTTATGTTTTCAATTGATTAATAACTGACAATCTAGCCTGAATACGGATACTTAAAAAAAAAAAAAATTAAATAAATTTTCATGTTTTATTTTTAAAAAGAAATAAATTAGCAAAAACAAAGAATATAAAAATAATTAAGTAATAAAACTATAATATTACAAAGAAATATTTAAAAAATCATAAAAAAAAACAAATATTGATTTTTTTTAAATTATTTTTTATATATTATTTTTAAAAAGTTTTTTTTATTTTAGTTTTCTAGATAGTTTAATTTAAATGAAATTAAATAATTATATAATAATTTATATAGATTGATTTGAATTTGATTGAATATGATAGTTTTATAAATTTAAAATTTAATTTAATTCAAATTTGATCAGATTAAAAATTTTGAAATTTGATTCAATCTAATTTATATTCAATTTATTGATTAATTGAATTTAGATCAAAACTGTGGTTACTAAAAAACAAAAAGAATATTTCAATTAAATAAATCTTTTTTTGAGAAAAATTATTTAATTGATGAAATTTTTTGAAAAATCTTGAATTTTATTCCTTTTCATTTTCATTTTTTTTCATTTCTCTTATTAATTTAAAATTTATAATTTTTGGATAGTTTATATTAACAAATTGTTGATGATAAACCTAATAAATAAAAGTTTATATCAATTTTTTAAAGAAATAAAATATTGTTATTTAGATTTAATTTAAAATATTTTGATATAATGACAAATTAGTTATTATGTGAAATATCTATAATATTATGAATAGTTATATAAACTTTTCAATAAAGATTAAACTATGTGATATAATTATAGATTAAAAAAATATAATATAAAAGATTTAAATAAATAATTATTATAAAATATATATATATATAAATTGATGAAAAAACTATAATTAAATAACAAATGATAAAGAAAATATATTATATAAGTAGATATTCAAGTTAATTAAATAAATTTTAATATAAATTGAAATATATTAATATCAAAGTTATATAAAAAACAAACAAATAAAAAATAAAAATGAAAAAAATAATAATTATATAACAAATAGAGTTAAATATGATATAAAATAATTAAGATTCTAATTCTTGTTAGCAATAATATTAGGATATAATTTAATAACATGTCAACATATATAATTTTATAAATATTTAATAATGCGACTAAGTAAAAAAAAATTATATATATATATATACTGTATATACTGTATATAGTATAATATAAAAAAGTAATAAATATTAAAAAAAAACTATTCAAATTAATAAAGAAATAAATAATCACTTGAATATAGTAATATAACCAAGTTTTCTGATATATGAGTGATGTCGACGTCACGTGAATTACATGTAGATCTAGAAATCGGATATATAATTAACATTGAATAAAAAAATTTTTTTATTCCAGTCATAAAAAAAACTTTTTATCGACTCTTTAGGGGAAAAAATTTCAAAGAAACTCCCCTCGCCACGTTCTCTACCACCGCAAAAAAAGCAACGGTCTTTTTGTAATAGGAGCGTTCGAAAGAGATATATCTCAAAAATCTTTTTCGACCTCTAATTTCTTTAAAGGATACGAATTCCTATTTTTTTTTTCCGGCTGTGACATAATTTTTTTTTGAACGACCGTTTTAAAAATTTCACATGATGCAAAAGACATTCAGTGATGGTACTCCTCAATCCAATGAGCACGACAGTGAAATACCTCAAGAGGGCATAGTTGATTATTCCAGGTTTGGTGGTAATAACGATAGCAATGCATCAATAGATGCAAATAACTTTGAAGAGAATGGAGGTATCGACCTAGGTGGAGGAAAATCTCTTTGTCGATTTTTTCAACGTGGTTCTTGTCGTTACGGTGAAAGCTGCAGATATTCTCACGAAAGCAGTGCACCAATTTCAGTGCAAAAATTTGGTGTACTCACTCATCCAAAAAGTGCCACGCCGTGTCGTTTCTTCGCTAAAGGATACTGTCGGTATGGGGATGATTGCAAATTTGCTCATGGTGGCGGACGATTTCATCACGATAATGGTATCACATCCGTCAATGAGCCTGATGGTATGCCTCGTGGCGAATGGGCTAAACTTTCGGGTGAAGATGTCAATGACATGATGTCACAAGGAGTTAAGCCGTGGGACGAAGATGCTCAAGTATTGGAAGTCATGAATCAATCTCATTTATTCTGAACCCTCATTACGTTGTGAACCCATAAGGTAAACCATTTTTAACTGGAATTGTGAATTATCGAATTGCGCACAAGTTTATCCGCGTTCTATTTCATTGACGTTTAGGGTCACATGATAATTCCGTGCGCGGTTGTGTACCATGGAACGCTTGCCAAAGTGTCCGGAATGTCATCCAGTGACGCACGGCCTGTATTATGAAATTTCTGTGATGTAATTGCATTACACGGATACTTTAGCTAGCGTTCCGCGGCGGTTTTCCTTTCTCTCGCGCCTGATTTTCTTCTGAATCTCTGTTTTTTTTTTATTTTTCTCTCACTATTTCCTATTACTCTTTTTTCTCTGCTTTAATAAGTTGTCGGTCAGCGCTCTTTTTAATTGCACGAGGGCTACTGACAACAACAGAAAAGACATTTTTGAATCGCTAGATCAGATTCTCAAGCGAAAGTTACATTGTTTCATTTTTTTCCAGCACTTTTATTCTTGTTTTTTTTTAACAAGGAGAAAAGAAGACAGACATAGAACTTACATTAGTTATTAAAAGTGGATTCATATATTCATCTTAAGTTGCATGTTACGCATAAAACTCCCGGATATAAAGCTATGCAAATAGGGCGTGTATATAACTGCAAAAAGGAAAAAAAAAAATAATAATTTTTTTTTTAAAAAAGTAGATAGCTCCAAAGAATTTAATAACCCAAATTGATAAATATCATAATCAGGAAAATATATCGTTCAAACGTTCAACAGCATCTCGCGCTCTCTTTTCATCCAATATTGGGCAATCGACTAGAGATGGAGAATGTTAATTTTATATTAATTTTTTCAAATCGACAAATACACTTTACAGATATCCAGGACTTACACAGAAATTTTTGAATCAAAGGACGTGTTTCTAAACCCGCCTCCAGTACGATATTGATTGGTTCAATTAATCTAAGCATTGCGCTATAAAATTCCGAGGAATAAGGCGGCGAAGTCATCTTGAGAACCTTAAAATGAAAAAAGGAGCACATTAGATGCAAATTCCAAGCCGGCCATCCATCACCCATTTTCTTGCCTTTGTAACGAAGTAGCTGACTAATTTTTCGTCCAGCTTGTTTATGTTTTTTTCAATGTACATCAACACCTGCATCACGAATCCGGTTGAAATCATGAATATCATGCGATCTAATAGCTGTTTCTTTAAGGTCGTCTGTCGAAGGATTAATCAAGTCTTTTGGTGAAAATTTTGAAGTCTACCTTTTTCCGCAAGAAAGTATATGACCAACGAGACATACCATGACCTCGGGAGTGAGTTTATGAGATGATTCTAAGTCCGCTTTGTACGCGTTAAAAACGTGTCCCCGTTGGTATGGATGTCTGTATGCGATCTATCCTCATTTGTCAAACCAAACTCGATCAAATACTCGCGCATGCAAAAAGAGTGAATTGAAAAAAAAAAAAAAACCTCTTCTAAGATCCAATGTGGTATTGGCACCTCGTTCGCCTTAAAGTGCTTCTCGTAGAATGATGTTTCCCTCAATAAATACTTTATCCAGAAAATTGTGGCCATCGAGGCAATTGGCGTGCTGAGTTACGAGCGATTAAGTGTTACACCAGTCCGTGACGGCTTATTCGCTCATAGCATAGATGAACAAATATCGCACTTACTCTATATATACCAGTAAATCCGGAACGATCGAGTTAAATTCCGATCCTGTGGCGCCTTTTTTTGATAATGTGACCGCGAGCTTTTTAAGCGTCTCAAATGTGGTGTCGACTTTGCTACTATCGATCTGCAGGATAAACACACGTGGGATTTGAATGATGATCAATGGAACGAATGCCTTAATGATAGGTAAGTCATACCTCTCCATTCGCCATTTCCTTTGCGGAAGAGGCGAAAGCCGCAAGGTATAAGTATTTTTCCTTGAGGTCCGATTTGATGTTTTTGCTTTGATCAGATGGTACAAATACATTGGTTAAGAGCCAATCTTAGAATAAAAAGGGTAATGTAAATTAATGTGAAAAAAAAAAATCGACACAAAATAATAAAAAAAAAAAAATTAAAAAAAAAAAAATAAAATAAAATAAAAATAAATGAATAAATAAATAAAATGTCACTAATGTGTAGTAGTCAATGGGATTTTTTAATACATAGTAGTTCGGGATCTCGTAAGTAGATGGGTGATGGTGGTGAATCCTTTTTGTAATGCTTATATAGCTGACAATAATGATCATCATTGTAGTGAAGAATTGGTTAATCAAAAGTTAATTACAAAAATCAGCAGAAGACTGCATGCGCCTCAAATTTAATTACCGCGACCACGTCACCAGGGGTTGGGGGGATGTATAGTATTGAAGAACTGATAAAATTTGGTGGTGCCGCTATTAAGCTTCTTAAGTTAGGAATGAGGTCTGATCTAAGATTGAGAAAATGAATGGGTAAATCGACCGGTTAGTCCCTTTTCCCCTCCCGAGGAGATTATACCAAGACTTTAACAATAAATAGCAGCTTCACATTCACCCTAATTTGTTGACACCTTTCTCTAATTCTTTGGACAGTTTTCTCAGTGGATATCCATTTGGCTCCTGAGATAACCTCTTGATTAAAGTTTGAACAAACAGATAAGAATGTGGGTGAAGGCTGACTGTTCGCTATGTGTTGAAACAAAAATCCCTGAGTAAATTTTAACCGTCTAAAATAAAATTTTTATTTCGCTATACCGACAATTAAATCTGGTAGATGTTTCTGAACTCCGGCCTCGTCCATTTGAATTAAAGTGTCGAATTGGTCCAGCAACACTTTGGAATATACTTCTATATATGTCGCTGAAGTTTTGAGATATTTAATCTCCCTGAAATGCCCTTTATCTGCAATGCGCTGAAACGAACCATTCCGAAATTAGTAAATCGATTTTTACTTTGTTTCGAATCGATTGCGTGAAGAATCACCTGTATCAAGAGACTTAAGAAGTAACTTTCCGGATATTTCTCTGACAATTCATAGATTACTTGTCTCCAGTATGCTGACTGAATTAATGGAAACACCGTCTCAAGAACCTGCATAATGCAATCTCCGTGTAAATCATCCATTCCGATCAAGTGTGCTGAACATTAACTATGAATGTGAATAAATTCAACCTCTCCCGAGGATTTCGCTACTTCGTCAATTTTGGCAGCGTCATATTTTTCCAAGAGCATTTTCTTTAGTGCATCTTGACACACTACTTCGGCCTTGGGTTGTGTGCTCGAACTTACGAATTCATCGTAAAGATCGCTTATCAATTGAATCTTTGATGGTTCACCGTTATAGCTGTGGCAAAGAGATTTGTAAATTTCAGGAATGTATTCTAGCGACTTTTCAACTAGCTGTTTGACAAAGTCAATGACATTTGGCTCGAAAATCGCGTCTATGAGTTGCGTTAATTGAGAGAAGAAACTCTATTAATAATTTTCTGTTAGTAGGTTTTCGGTTTATTTAAAACACTTCTCACAAGAAAAACTCGTATTTATGCGTATTTGATCAGCAAAGTGAAAGGTTCGCTAATTATTTTCGCAGTTTTTTTTCCATAATTAACCTTTTTTTTGTAAGGCCCTGAGCAGCTCATTCGAATCGAAAGGCGTGGTGTGGGAAAAGGAATTAAAACTGTGCATTTCCATTGGCGTGGTGGGAGTGAAGGGACGATAATTTCGCGCTTCGGTCAGAGAGCCCGAGGTATAGGAATTGTAATCCATCGAGGTGCTTTGGGTGTAAGGAATCTGGAACCGGTAACTTTTTTTTAACTCTGGGAAAATTAGAATAACAAGATAACAGGGTAATTTATCTGCCCGAGAAACACACCGACGTGTAAGACGGATTTTGCGCGAAATAATCTTGAGTCGCGTCGGAAGAATCATACTGCATCTTGTTTCTTAATTTCTCAACAATTGCTAAAGATTTGAAAGAGGGTAAAGTTTCTTACGGTACGTACTATTCGATTCTTTCATGTACTTGACGCATTTCAGTTAAATCAGTTTTTTATTTTTCGCAACGTCCATTGGTGTCCAGCCAATCATTTTACACCTGCACTCCGGCCAATGAAGTTACGATCTCGGTTTGATTATAAATGATATAGCCAAAAAAAATTTTTTTTCCTCCTACTCTTCTATCGCATCGATATGGGTGTGTAGGTGGCTCCAAAAATCTCTCGAGATTTTCTTTCAGGCTAATGATTTTCTTTCAAAATCATTGTAGGCAAAGGAAAACCCAGAGGTTTGCAAAGTGCACGTAAATTACGCACACACCGTCGTGAAGAACGGTGGGCAGACAAGGCTTACAAGAAAAGGGCCTTGGGTACTGCCTTTAAGTCTTCTCCTTTCGGTGGATCTTCACATGCCAAGGGAATCGTTCTCGAAAAAATGTATTTATTTATATAATCAAATCAAGGATCTATGCGCAGGTTTCAATCTTCCCGTTAAATGACCTTGTTGTATTCATGTAGCGGTGTGGAAGCCAAACAACCAAATTCTGCTATTCGAAAGTGTGTTCGTGTTCAGTTGATCAAGAATGGTAAAAAGGTCACCGCGTTCGTCCCCAATGATGGTTGCCTGAATTATGTGGACGAGAATGATGAAGTGCTGCTTGCCGGTTTTGGTCGTAAAGGACGTGCTGTAAGTATTAATTACCGATTTGGATTTTTGGTTTAACCGGACCACCGGTTTTTAATGGACCTCTTCTGTAGATTGGTGATATTCCCGGTGTCCGCTTCAAGGTCGTCAAAGTCTCTGGCGTTTCTCTCCTTGCTCTGTGAGTACGCTTTTTTTTTTGATGAAATTAAAACGAAATACGATTGTTCTGACGGTACCCAAAATCTTGCAGGTATAAAGAAAAGAAAGAAAAACCTCGAACGTGATTCCATTCATCCCGACCACCCCTATATTACAAACCTCCTCATGCTTTGATTTATTTTAAAAGGATAATCCGTTTTAAGTGCAAAGAAAATTGTGTGATGACATTGTCTTTGATTGTGGGAGATGCCGTGTCATCTTCATAAACACTCGGTTATTTTTATAATCCAAATGCTTTTACTATAATTGAACATCTCAGATTATCATGTGAAAAAGATCTTTTATAATGAGGGATGGAGTAGATATATTTAAATATACGATGTTTATGAGGTTGATAAATGGCTTGAAGGAAAATTTTTAAGAGGATTTTGACATGACTCGTTGCGTTATCAAACAATGCTGTTCTTTTGTTTTTGCAAGTATTATTTGACAAGTAATCAAGATTCGAATGATTAATAAAAAAAAGTAATATATATACTGTATATATATACTGTATTTTTAGAATTCATCAGGTACTGTATATTAATAAGTATGGTAAACATTCAAAAAAAAAACAAAAATGAAATGAAATAAAATCAGTTTGAATAATCGCCGAGAAGAAATTAAAAAAAAGTATTTATAAGTATTCATCATAATTAAGATTGATTCGAATTAATTATTGTATAATTAGATTTGATTAAATTATATTACCACAGTTAGACTTAATCGCAAACTGCACAAATACATGTGTCGTTTTGAATGTTTGATTTGAAAAGCTCGTTTAAAACCTGGGGAGGGTTTTATTTCGAAGAGTGGACAAGAACAACGTTCCGTGTTTTCTAAACCAGAACTGAAGCATGGTGTGAATAAATGAAGAAGACGACTTGACCGTTGGAATGTTTGTAAATTTTATTTTTTTAATGAATATTTAAAATTAAAATTAATCAATTCACTTCAATTCACCAAAATATTTAAAAAGATAAATAAGTAATTCATGCATTTATTTAAGAAGTAAAGTTCAAAATAATTGTGCAGCAAGAAAGATGTGAACGGAAAAAAATTAAAATACAATAAAATTTTAAAAATGTAAAACCTTAAAGATTAGATTCAAATAATAAATTAAATAATATTACAAATCATTACATATTATTCTATTGATCAGATAAAATTTCGCCAAGTAGAGAATTATAACAAAAAATATGGTAGTGTTGGTAGTGTGAATAAAAGGAAACGGAAAAAAAAAAGTCGGCATAATAGTCAATTTCTCCCTTACTTTCTTATTTTTCTTATTACCATTTCATACCTCTGTTTTATTAAAATTGATAAGTTTATTTAATTATTAATTTATGTAATTAAATAACGCATTAGTAATCTTTTAATTTTCTAAATATAATTAAATACTTTGATTCACGTAATAAAATAAAATCACATTCTAAAACAATTCATCGTTTAAATAATAAATATTGGTTTTTTTTTGTTTTTTTTTTTTCCCAAGATTAATCTAATTTATTTAAAGAAATAGCTTTAATTTGGATATTTGAAGTACCGGATTCAGATTCTACTTTTTTTTTTAACAAATCACGGGAAAATAAATTAAATGTTTTTTAGAACCAACCCCGCCTACACTTCATATATTCTTTCCAATAGCCCATAAAAGTATTTCTGTCGGAGAACACACGGCCAAGAGTAATGTCACCACCAGAACTAAAATAACCCTTGCGTTGTAAACTTTGAATTCATCAGAATCAATTTCAAGCTTCTTGCTGACATTATGTGAAAGTTCCACACTTCCAGAAGTCGCCATACTTTTAGAATTGGTGCCATCAATTACTCGAATTCTCAGTGAATGGACCAAACCTTCTGTGGACCAATCTTTAACCCTCCAATACAAGGTCTGACCGTTTCTAACATACCTCCAGTCACCGTCTGAAACACGAATATCAAGAGCCAGTTTCTTGTAATGATAAGTTGGTATGAATATTTCGGCTTCCGGAGCAACGGATTTTGAAAGATTGTCATCGTCATGCGGAAAGTTTACAAATTTAAAGTTGAATTCTTTGGTTTTCAAGTTGAAGGTCATGGTTTGTGGTATGCCGGGAAATTTGGAGGCATAAGGACGCTGTCAAATGCACCGAGGTCAATAAATAAGTATTTATATCATCGAAATAAAAATTATAACCATAACCATGTGGAACGCATCGGTGACTCTTACCAAAACGGCATCCAAGACCCGCCCACCGGTGTTATGCGATGGATCGTAAAAACTCTCTTGGTCAAACTCCCATGGATTCAGGTTGAAAGGAGACGTTGGACTGGTGGTGGTGCATTCAGCATAGACTTCCGCATCGGGCCCTTCCATTGAATCCAGATACATTTGCTCCTTAGCAATAAATGTTTCGATCGTCAACCCTTTCTGCACCTGAGACTTTAGCTGACTTGAAGGATAGACGTCTGCAGGAATGGCGGTCACAGAAGGAAGCTCCGAAACGACAGTTTTAGTAGGAGGCGGAGAAAATATTGAAAAGTCCTCACCATACCAATGATCACCGTGTATATTGTCATTAGTTGGATTATAATTCCATAACCTAATGAAAAACAAATTCGAATTGAAATTTCGCGCAGCTAATTGACACCATCGGGAATGCTTCGCTTACGTGAAATTCACAAGATTTCCTTCCATGGCACCCAAAACAGCATCCAAGAAGTTGATATGATGTTTGTAATCACCGGTTTCGAAAGCCTTTTTATCATTGATGTCCATAGGTATTCCACATTCTCCTATGACGCAAGGTTTGTTCCCCGCATTCTTTAAACCTTTTCTAACGATGTTCTGAACTTGACCGAAATAATTCTTTTTCGCACCGGAAATCCCAAAGTACGTAGCAGACACAATATGTTGAGCTCCCTGTGAAACAAAAAATGATTGATTGATCCGAAAGGGAAAAGATTAGTCAACACACCGAGTCGAAATTTCAGGTGACGAAGTGGATCCCTTGCCTGTGTTAGACGTTGCACATCATGAGTAATAATACCGTTGAATGTTTTTGTGAACAACGATTTCAGGTCGTACCAATGCGGTGCATAAACCACATTCTCGTGATGATCAGAGGTAGTCCATACCGGCGGTGGCTACGAAAAAAAAAAAAAAAAAAGAAATAAAGAAATAAAGAAAGAAAGGAAAAAGAAATTTGATCGATTTAATGCCAAACTCACTCAAAATTTTCGTTGTGGATGACTTCGTGGTTCACTTACTTCATTGGGAATAGGTTCCACAAAAACTAGATAATCGCTCTTAACACTTTGTATACCCTCTGAATACCTCTTTACAAATGGGAGGTAAAAATCCTTATAAAAATCAAGTTTTTCTCCAGTTTTAGGGTGCCTTATGAAATAATCTGGTTTCAGAACTTTGGGTTTTCCCGTTTTCGAATCAACTTCCCACAATCCGTGTTTTCTCCAAATGCACTCTCCATTTATCCAGGTGGACGCACCATCCTTATTCATGATTCGTGTGGAAGATTTGCGGGTGGGAAATGGCCAAGACTTGGTCCATACTTCAACCTCCTGTGCAATTCCGTCTCCCAAGGCAAAAGATTGTAGAGCGCTTGGAGAGTCGCCGAAAACAAGCGTTGTACCGGCGTCATAGCGGTGAAAATCAGAAAGACCGATGTATCCGGGACTTTTTAGAATGTTTAAATTTTTTATCGTCAAATCACTTTTACCTGTCCATATTATTTATCATTTAGCAGAAAAATGTGATTGGTTAATCTTACTGTGGTTCATTCATGAGCTCGAATCCCATCACTGCTTCCAAATGTTGAATTCGCCTTGTAGAAGAATAAGGATTAGCTTAAAATTCATAAAAAAAATCCTGACGGTAACTTTTAATCGATTGTGCTTTTTTTAATTTTAATTTTATTTATTTATTTATTTTTTACCTTGCCAGGTGTTTGTAACAATTCACGTATTTTTCTTGAAGAAATTCTTTAACGTTGACGCCTTCATAAAGTGAATTTGGAGCAAGCACGTCACCACCCCAGAACAAGGTGAACATCGTGCTACTAGCCAACTTTGTGTAATTCGTGGGCCACACCATGGGCAAAGAATCGCCTGGTTGGTGATTTGTGTTGTGCACGTACGCAGCTCCAGTTTCTTTGAACTGTTTAATGTCGAGGCCGGCAACTTCAAACGTCCATCCCGGTGCCCCAGAGCCGCCCGAAAATCGTGACCACTACCAATTTACACAACCTGTTAGAGGAATCATTACGGTGATTGAAGATTAATTGATGCATGATGATAAAGTTTTTTCCACGTACACAGTCTTGATGAGGATCTATGAAACACTTGATTCCGTATCTGGGCATCTCTTCGATAACGTTGATAAGATAGTCGATATATTCCTCATCGTAAATACCACTGTGTAAGGTGAATTCGAAAATGGGTTAACGGTGAATTGAATGGATCGAAAAAGTTCGCAATCGAATATTTTGAACTTTAAAAACCAGTAAGTCACGATTAAGAAAGAAAAAGCCCCCTACGGTCCGGAATGTTCCAAGGCCTCCCAAGTTACCAGAAGTCGAACGAACGTTAGACCCCACGTCCTCAATCTTGCAAAATGCTCGTGCACTTCTTCTAATGCAAACGGACGTCCAATAAAGGACACGTTACGGTGATCGAAGAAGCCTTCGAATAAGTGACTAGAACCATCAGGTTTTGTGGGTAGCTTGGAATTGCCGCACAAGTTGACACCACGCATCAAGCAAACTCGACCTTGCTCGTCCTTAAACCACCGACCGTCGGCATGAATGGATCCTCCACTTTTACCATACCAATTATGTGCGAGAACACCTGACTCGCCAAGCGCCAACGAATTTTCCTCGGTTAAATTTTTGACAGTATCATTTGATCCGAGAGCATCTGGAGAGGAGGCATATGAGCTAAAAGAGGAATCCGAGGCCGAACGTCTCAGCTGTGGGGTGAGAAGGTTGTGATGAGTTGGTCTGAAGTTTTCGTCGCTCTCTTTACTGTCCAAGGACTTCTCGTCCGAAGAATCGCCGTCAGAGAAAACAAAAGTCACTTCCGGATCTGTGGAGTCCACAGGGAACTCGGGTATGGTGCTGTCTATCTCGAGAACTGAAGTTTTCATTCTTCTTTTCTCTGATCCGTGGATCCTTGTGAATTAAAAAATTTATGGCTTTGAAGTATGGAGAAGTTCAGGAGAGTCTATCGAAGAATTTTTTCGCGTTTGAAATGAAAATGGTTCTTAATTTCGAAGAAAAAAAAAATTTGGTATAGTTAATCAAACGGTTAAATGAATGTATAAAGTGGGATACGATAATGAGAATAAACGGGAATGAGGCTTTGATGAAGAGAGATGCGTGCTAGGTACTCGTGGATCCAAGATAAGGAGAAAACCAAGAGAAACATAAAATTTGATTGGATCATGCGAAACGGTGTGTAATATGCCGTGTATTACACATTTCACGTACATAAATTTATTATTTAAATATATCATTTAAAAAAAAAAACGTTGGGTCATCTTTCCTTATATATGACGATAACGTATAAACATCTATCGAAAAAATCGTGTTACACGAAACGTACATTCTACTGCGTTTTTTCGTTCTCGGAAACTCAATACTCAATTCGACAAAGCTTATTATTAGAGCTAGAATTGGGATTCGTCCAGATGATGTTGCATCCATTCGATTTACATCGCTCGCCCCTATCGATTTCCATTTTCAGCAAGGAAATCATGCAGGATTTGTGTCGAGGAAAAATAAAAAGAGAATTGTTTCCCTGTCCTTTCTATAAACCATCTCTTGTGTAATCTCATCTACTTTAAGAGTTGAAGATTTAACTTTGTGCTCTAACCTGCTTCAATCTCCAATGACAATAACTTTAATGCCAAGAAGATCAACCGCAATGCGTGATCGGGTGTGTGCACATAGAGACTAAACCTTGGAAGATAACGGAACAAAACCTATTTTTATCATCAATAAATAATAGTAGGTGCACTTAAGACCCAACGTCACACCCTTTTTCATTCCATTTGGAGTTAACAAACGACGACAAGAATCCTAATTCCCAACGAAAATATAAAAATGTTTTATCTATAATAAATTAATCGGGTTATCATCGATTTCAGGAGGAATAATTGTTTTTTTCTTGTTATTTTTGTTAGACATAAACATCACAAGTAGAACTAAAATACCGGAACCAAATATTCCCACTATAAAAATAAAATTATTTTTAGTGGACACATCAGAGTCATCACGGAATGATCTGAATCAGAGAACATACTCAAAGCCATTCTGGTTGTTTCCCATTTTATCGCTTCAATCTCAGTTCTGATATCTCCGCATGCGATGGTGATTTTGTTATTCAACTCGTGAATATTTATCTCCATCTTTTTTTGTTCTTCCCTCACGTTCACCTTCCTCGTGTTAAGATCCAATTGTACACTATTTTTCATTGTCGCGATGTCTTCTTGAAGTTTCTGTTTCAAGTGGGAAACCTCCCTTTGAATCTCGACGATCTCAGAATTCATCTCGGTCATATTCTTTTTGCGGTTGATTTGGATTTCAGTTCGAAAATCCGAAAGTGCTGCTTTAAATAAATACGATTCCTTGTATTATGTGAAAAAGGTTATTCGTACGTGAGAGTCAAAAGAAATCGATGAAGCCCGCGCCAAAATCAAAAAAGAAAAGAAAGGGTTTGTACGTTTTCAAGGCTTGCTTTCGACAACATGAGCGAACGTATTCTCGAACTGGGTGGTCAAAAACAAAGAATTCAACAACTACCGAGAACACCCAAAGAAAAACCAGATTTCCTCTTTACCCGTTATTCAATAACGCTTCCAATGATCTCATTATCGCTTCCGATTGCCCTCTGGTGAAGCCGCATCCCTCCAAATCCTTAACTACCTTGTATGTATTGAAGTTGTGACGAGTGGGTGCCTTTTGCTGCGATGGCTGTTGTTGCGGAGGGTTGGGAGGGGGTAAAACGTTTTGTGTTGTGTTGGATCGGAGGTATATCGGAAATGCTAATTTAAAGTTGAACTCACGGCTAAATCGTATTTTACCTAAAATTTTCACGGTTCAAATAAATATTCGCGTGAATTGATTCGAATCGAAAACATCAATAATGATGGTTCATACGGAATATACTTGTAAAAAAAAGTGTTTTGCTATAAATGTGGGAGGGCTTCATCATTTATTCCAACAATCGATACACATTCGCAGCATACGATTATTCGAGATGAAGATTACCTTTCGTAATAAGGCTGGCGGTCAGTTGGACAAGGTGAGTAAATTAGGTTGGTTTTTGACTTTAATCAATTTCCTAATTTCCTAAGGAAATATGAATTGCTGTCATTGGCCGGAGTCAAAAGTCATATGACAATGCGGAAAACGCTTTGGATCGGCATGATAATCTCCGATCGATTGATGAATGCATTGTATCCGTAGGCCCGCACTCCCCTCGTGGGGCCATTGTTCAAGACCTTAGTTTAGTGATCGGGTTGCGCAGTATATACCGACAGATAATGGAAATTGTTCCGGGTTTTTGATGTATTTAATTTAAGTATAATGTATATACAATTCCAAGAGTATCTTAATTTACTGTACTTGAGGTGGTTCAAGAATTAATAATTTTTTTTTTGACATGCATACTTAAGCTCTGCTGATTTCAACATACATACATAATCATCGTATAAAATGATACAACTCACCATTTGTAATAACATTATACTATAGTATAATACTAGCTCAAATGCAAGAATACATTTCATTAAAATATAATAAAGATTAATAAAGAGTAATATGGCATGAAACTACTTCATATATTACCATCTCAGATTATACAGAATTTAGCGAAAAGATTTATTGAGATTGAAAAAAAGTTTTAAAGAAATAATAAAAATAAATAGCATTAGATATACGTATACTTCACAACTTACTTATATTGAAAGATTAAATTGTATTTAATATATTATTAGAGTTCAAAAATTGGGCTTGTATAAATTTATATGTAATTTATATATGAAATCAATGTATTATTAAAATTTATAATCTACTGTATATAATAAATTTAATATAGAATTCAAATCAAGATTTGACCTTGTTATAAAGAATTTTCTATGATTCTTTGCTTTGTAAAATATAGAATAACAAAATAGTATTTTGAAATATAGAATTAAAAGACTATAATAAAAACAAACTTGAGTCAAGATATGTTACAATAGTCTTTATGGATGGCACTATCTGACTTGCAAAATACAAAAAAAAAAATATGAAAAAGATCTTAAAAGTGATAAAAAATTTATATTAAGCAAATAACTTTCAAATTAATATTAACAAATTAGGTTTAATTACTATTAATAATTAAAAATTAATATTTGAAAAAAATTTATAAAAGAATTAAAAAAAAATTGATTAAATAAATTATAAGATTAGAACAAGTCAAATTTTTAAGAATTTAAATAAACAATTAAAAAATAGTATTGAAAATTAAAAAATTTTTTTTAAAAAAATAGAAGTTAAATTATATGAAAAATAAAGAAAAGATTGTAAAAAAAATAAACTTTTTTTACTTATCTCCAATTTTTAGAAATTTTTTTTTTTTTAATAATTTTTTGAAAAAAAGAAAAATCAATTAAAATAACAAAAAAAATTATTATTACAACACTAGTCGAAATTATGTCATTCGGTTGTCGAATTATTGCTGAATTTGGCAAAATTTAATAATAAAAATATTGACGAATTATTTACGATTGCTGCCACTCGGCATTAAAAATATCGGCA